TCTCCCAACACTATCCGGTTTAGAGGTACATCCCTATCTTCCCTAAACGCTGGAGTACATATCCCCCCTATCTCTCCTCTACACATAACTATCAAACACATTGGTTTCTATATACATCAACTCAATACATATAATTAATGTATTCTATCAACGTCAAGTTCCATGACACATTCCATTGATAGTTTCAAGTTTGCTTAATCATCAATGCATTGTCTAGCAACAATCACGACTATCCTCACGATAGCCCACCAAGCAGTTATTCTAAACAAGAAAATAAATGCAACAATGGATTCATTCAATCAACATTTCATTTCCGTCATTCTCACAGCATTAAATTATCCCAATTAATTCAACAATGTATATTAGGGTCCATCTCCATAATATTAGCCATTTCAACCCTAGGTCCGCATTTTCATCAATGATTAACATCATATTCCATTTCTCGTATGTCCAAACATAGATCTTAGGTTTACTTATGAATAAAACCCGGCAATTTGTAAAATTACACAAAAGCCCCAAACTTTCAAAATTACCAAGCCAACCCCAACATCCTCAAAATACAAAATTTAAAGACAAAATCCATAGAGAGGATAGGATACCCTACCTCGAAGTTTGAGCCAAAAAAGGAGATGAAGACTCGAAGATCAACTTGCCCAAATCCAAACTTTTTCAGATTAAATCAAAGCTCTCAACGACCTCATCTTTTTAAACAAAAGCCCTAGGCTAGATACACACTCCTAGGGAGATCAAATCTTAGAGAGGGTGTAAGTTTAGAGAGAGAGTGTGCCGGATCAAGGGTTTGAAAGAAAAAAAAAAGTGAAAAAGTGATGTTTCAAAACGCTACTGTCCGCTGATATAAAACACGCTCGCTCGAGCGAAGCCTTGGTCGCTCGAGCGACCAGACAGAAAACTCTCGCTCGAGCCAAGAAGTTCTCGATCGAGCGAAGAAAAACCCAGACCGCTCGAGCCAAGAAAAGCTCGCTCGAGCCAAGAAAGGCAACTCTCAGGTCCAGAACCAGACGCAACACTCGCTCGAGCGAAGCCACCCTGGCTCGACCCACCAGACAAAAACTCAACTCTCGCTCGAGCAACAAACTCCTAGCTCGAGCGAAGGCCAAAAATCTGGGCAGCAACACTAGGCTCCCAAGCACAACCAACCTGAAACAAACCTGCCCAACACATCCTATAACTTAATAAGAAGCGAAAAGGATGCAAACAAGATAATAAACAACTACCAACATCCACAGACACATGTCCGGATCACTGTACAACAAGGGTAAACCCGGGATCGATACCAGGTTATGCGTCCGTTTCTGTGTAGGTCATGCCCAAACTTTTAGGGGCAAGTTTAGGGCGTGACATAAAGTTTCCACAATAGAATGTAAAGTTTCCACAACAGAAAAGACGGTGTTTGGACGAAGATAGCTTTTATTCAAGCACTCAAAATGTCATAGTTTTGAGCATAACAGTAGCTGTTGTGCATATCCCCAAACCCAATGCAAACATTGTTAAACTAAGTGTTTCCTTGGTTAGATTTTTGTAGTTTTTGTTGTTTATTTTTCGTCTGGTTCAACTAAATGCCTTATTAGCAATTTTTGTTTTCTACGATGGCATTCTTTTTTAAGAAATTGGAAAAGCATTTATGATGAATCATCTCGAGTAAACCATTTTTGTAGGCTGTGAATGTTTGGTCTTTAAATGTTAAGAATGCCATTTTGCAAGTCTCATATTGTGGCTTCAATTTGATAAGAATCTTTGTTTTGACAGCACTACTACAAAAATGCTTACAGATCATACTTAAGGAAATTAAAACATGACACTTTTAATGAAACAAGCATAAGGTATGCTAATCGAAAATGTCCCTAATCTAACCATCAAAAGTGGATAAATAAAAGGGAGAAAGACGTGGGGTTCGAAGACATGCACACACTTATTACAACATTACGCCCTCGCGAAGGAAGGTCTAAATGAATAAGCTAAGTTACACTAAGCTAAGGAAATTATTACAACACAATTGAAACTAATTAACTAACTTATTCTAAGCTAATTAATTACAACAAATTGAAATTGAATAACTAGTTACACTAACTAATTAAGGAAATTAAATGGCCTCGAGGGCGAGGGATGTATGCGTGCTCGGCTGTTCCACCCAAAAATGCTATTGCCTTGCTAACTGATGCCTCTGTTTGCACTCATTTGCTCACTGAAAATTGTACCAACTACCAGATTGCCTCTGCTCCAACACAGGAACACATTTGTCCAAAATTCACTAGTGGTCGGTCGGCTACAAAAGGTGGCTGTTAGCCACAACAACTGGCCGGTCGGCTAGCTCAAGTGGGCGGTCGACTACTTCAAGTGGCCGGTTGGCCACCCCCTTTTCTGGACTTCTTTTTTTGCTGTAACAGCGAGCAAACAGAGGCAAAGCAATGCATTTTCAAGAAATATATGTACTGCTATCCTCCTTATCATCTCTCAAGCTCAAAGGAGTGTAGCTCTTGGCTCTCAAACCACCAACCAAGCATTCTCAATGCATGGTGGCTAGAGAACCAAGCTTGTACAAAGTCAATGAATGCACAAACAAGACCAAAACAACCACCACCCTATCATGCATGATCAAGGGTGACGGTGACCAAGAAAAATAACACATTTCATCACTTTGAGTATGAAATGTCCCATTTTCCTTGTGTTTAGATTAACGTCCGATCCAAACACATGCAATGCAACACGACATGCTTAACTTGCTCAAGTTTTACTTGCCATGTTTTATTTACTCATTTTAATGACCGATCCATTCTTTAACCGGTTAAGTCCAAAAGATAAGAGTCCTCTAATGGAAAGAGGGCTTAACCTACAAGTACCTTGAGCATGAAAAAGGCCTCATGCTGTTGGTAATGAACTCCCGAAGGAATTAAATCATTAGGCATGAGGGTCTCAATTCCACACTCAAGCCAACAAGAGGCTCAAAGCCACTTTCAAAACAAAGTAAAGAGTGAAGAATAGAGGGAGGTTACAGATATTTCAATGCTGACATGGCATGCAAAATGACACTAAATCATGCAAGCAACACATGCAAGTCATGTTTAAGAGCATAACTCATTAAGCTAGTGAAGACCATTACACTATAGCCATGCAATACAAGCCTCAATTGACCAAAACCAGCTCAAAACAGAGTTAAAATATGCCAAAATAGTGGCTAAAACTTGCTGAGACTAAGGCACAAAAGGCTAGAAAAACATGCTCACATGTTAGCTTTCAAACCAGACTCAAGAGCAACTCTAAAAAAGCAATGTAAGAGTGAAGCAAATGAGCATGTGACAGAGCTATAAACACTAAAATTACATGTACAAAGACACTTCAACATGCAACCATCTCAAGCAAATCAAGTTTGAAGGGCTAGAATGTTGCAAGTGAACTTGAACAAGCTGTGCAACTTGTTACTAATGATAACCTTGATCTGGGCTGTGCATTGATTGAACAAGTTGCAACAAAAAATGTTAGATTGCTTTCTATTTTCTTTCACAAGAAATCATTTATGCATATATTTATTTATCTATCGGTTAATGCATATGTTCACTTCAGTGCTTTTGATTCACATTATGCTAAATTGATAATGCATGCAATAATAGGTAACAGTTTTCACTTCTAATATTTGGAAAAGCTGTTTTAGAAGTTGTATAGAAAATCGAAAAATACTTTGTTGTTGGATAAGGTTCTGAAACGGCCCTACATGTTTCTTCCTCAAATGAAGCTTACTACACAGGCAAAAATATGGCTTAACAAGTGTAGATTGAGAGGGAGAGTTATCAATCATCCCTAGAAACTTAGAATTCGAGGTGTTAACGCCCAAAAATCACCAAACGGCATCGGAGTTGCACGAAACTTGGCACACACGACTGTCTAGGCACGAGAGACTTGTGGGAGAAGACGGGACTGGAATCGAGTTCCTGGTTTGGAAGTTAGAGTCGGATTTCATGCTAGGCAAACTAGTTCCTTTAAAAACTTAGAATTCGAGGTGTTGACGCCCCAAAATCACCAAACGGCGTCGGAGTAGCACGAAACTTGGCACACATGACCGCCTAGGCACGAGAGACTTGTGGGAGAAGTCGGGACTCGAATCGGGTTCCTAGTTTGGGACTTAGAGCTGGATTTCACGCTAGGCAAACTAGTTTCTTAAGAAACTTTGAATTTGAGGTGTTGACGTCCCAAAATCACCAAACGGTGTCGGATTAGCACGAAACCTGGCACACACGATTGCCTAGGCACGAGAGACTTGTAGGAGAAGACGGGACTTGAATCAAGTTCTCGGTTTGGGAGTTAGAGTCGGATTTCACTCTAGGTAAATTAATTCTTTAAGAAACTTAGAATTTGAGGTGTTGACGCCCCAAAATCACCAAACGGTGTCGGATTAGCACGAAACTTGGCACACACGACCGCCTAGGCATGAGAGACTTGTGGGAGAAGACGGGACTCGAATTGGGTTCCCAGTTTGGGAGTTAGAGCTAGATTTCATTATAGACAAACTAGTTTTGAGGAGCAAAGGGTAGGAAGAAGCAAGGGGAGATAATGGCTGATGTTGTCAACTTTTTGAGGACCAAATGATTCACTGGACACTTTGGAAGTGAAGGGGACTCATCCACAAGTGGACATACTTCTTGGTAAAGTATATTAACTTTAATATAACAAATTTTATAAAAGAATATATGTTTGAAAAATTAGAAAGCCTGTATAAATTGTGAATTAGTCTAAAAAATATTTCTTTTTCTCTATACTTAAAGCTTCAAAAAAGGCCGTTGAAAGGCTAAATTATCACACAACCACAGATTTGTATAGGATCCAACGAAAACACCTTAGGAGGGACCAATATAAGTTGTATGAACTTACGACACATTAATGGGATGCACCATTTGTGAATTAGCCTTAAAATTAATTTTTTGTTCTCATAATCTCGAAAAAAAGTCTGTTAGAGGGATAAATTATATAATTGATCTAATTGTAAATTGATGAGTTACTAATGTATTTAATCTTTTGTATAATTAATTAATTACTAAAGCTTTTAATTTATTTTTTTGCAGATTGGATTGGGATGGCATTTTTGACGTGCAACAATGATGTAATTTGCTTGAATGTTCATTTTGTTTGATAAGGATACACATACTTTGTGGAGTTGCACTAGTTATTGTTGGACGTTTGGTGGAATTGTACAAGTTATAAGTTTTGGATATTTTGTAGATATTGAACTATTTTATTGTATTATGATGAAATTATTTGTTATGATGAATGAATATTTTCATTTTGTTAATTCGTAAATGTGTTGATGACAGGTTAGGTTAAGTTGTGAATGGAATTGTTATATTCAACAGGTTTCAACATGAACAGGGTTACATTTGTTGAACTAAAATTCAAATTTTGATAAAATAGGTATATAATGTGAAAAAAAAATATTATGGAATTAGTGACAAAATTTTCCATCCCTAAAGAAGGTTTTTTCGTCTCTTATTTGGCTTAGGTGGAAGATTAATTTTGTCATGAATTCTTTATTTCATCGCTAAATGAATTTGTCACGACGAAAAATATTCACATTTTGTCACTATTACCCTCAATGTGTGACGATTTTATTTTGACATTATTTCATCATTTTTAATAATGAATTTGTTTTTGTCTCTATTGGTAGTTTCTTTGACACAAATTTTTCTTCTTCGTTTATATTCAGTGTGACAAAATTATTTCGTCTCTATTTCTTATATTTATGACAAAATACTTTCGTCTCTCATTTCTTTCTTTAATGACAAAATATTTTGTCGCTAATTACTTACAAGTATGTTCCCAACAGAGTGTATTGGAGACAAAAAAATTCGTCACATAGTTATTATTTTTAATGATGAATTTGTTTTTGTCTCTATTGGTAGCTTCTTTGACAAAAAATTTCCATCTTCATTTATATTAAACATGACAAAATCATTTTGTCTCTATTTCTTATATTTATGACAAAATACTTTTGTCTCTCATTTTTTTTTTTAATGACAAAATATTTTGTCGCTAATTACTTACAAGTATGTTTCCAACAGAGTGTATTGGAGACAAAAAAAATTTGTCACAAATTTATCATTTTAAATGATGAATTTGTTTTTTCGTCTCTAAGACCCTTTAGCGACGACGCTTTGGCGATAAAACGGGTGACGAAAAATTTTCGTCGTAATTAGTTTGAGTGACGAAATATATACATTTTGGGACAAATTTGTTTCGTCTTTAAATCCCAAATTTGTTGTATTTGCTCAATTGACATCATGGGAAGGTTAGGTAGATGAATGACAGGAAAAGTAGGAGTAGGGGCACTCGGTCCAGCAGAGCTTATAGGATCATTCAGGTCCAGAAACAGAGTGAGGGGACGGGATGAGGAAGCCATGGATTAGAGGTGAGTTTTTATTTAGTGACGAATTTTATTTTCTTCACTAGTTTTCGTCACCATAGGTTACTTTTGTTGTAGTGGGTCATTTTTGGCAGCCTTTCTGCTCTACACAATCTCTTTGTTCTGTCTCTCGAGGAAGAAGAAGATCAAAGAGAATGATGAAGAAGAAATAGAAGAGAGTGAGGTGAAGAAGAAGAAGCAGATGAGTGTGATTAAGAAGAAGGCTGAAGAGAAGAGGCTGAAGAGAAGAAGACAAGGTGGGAGAGATAGCTGAGACGAGCGGCAAACGAGGAGAGTTGCTTTTGTCGGCCAATGAAGCAAAAGTCAGGCCGCGTGGCAATCGCGTTTTGCGAAAAAAGAGAGAGACGCGGGAGAGTTGTATGTGTTTGCATATATGTATATATATGTTTTGATTATCTATTTTTTGATGCCATTTATCCCTATTATTTTCCTCCTCCTCGTCTAGATTCCGACCCATGATTTCCTTTTAATAATGTCACAGGGGGAGAAAACTTATTATGTTATGTATTATGGTATTATCTTCAAATTATGGTATTATTTTTAAACTAATATGATGTTATGTATTTATAGTTTGATATTTTAGTCTTATATCATGTCTTTAATTAAAGCTTATTTATTACACATGTGCTAACTTATGTATTTAGAAATGAAGTCATGGAGCATGACTTGAGGGGGAGCTTTTCTTACTTCCAAATCAAATCAAAACATCATTGTGTGCCATCATAAAAAAAGGGGAGATTGTTAGACTTATTTATTTTGATGATTTATTTAATTATGTTTTAATTTATTTGAAAGAGAAAAATAGAATCTAAAATTTATTTTGATGATTTATTGAATTATATTTTAATTTATTTGAAAAAGAAAAATAGAATCTAAAATTTATTTTGATGATTTATTTAATTATATTTTAATTTATTTGAAAGAGAAAAATAGAATCAAAATTTATTTTGTCCTATTATTTCTCACCTAAACCTTTATCCTAAATGTTGTTAGAATGTATTTAATATTTGATTAAATCAGGAGTTCAAATAGCCCAAAATAGAGGTTCAAATAGCCCAAAACAGAGGTTCAAACAGCCCAGCACAACAGCAGTTCAAAAGGTTCAAAAGGTTAACGTGGAAGATATCCAAATTTATAATGATGGAGTAGAAGATATTCAAATTAGTAATGATGGAGTATAACGACTATTAACGGATATAAATTCAAATGAATACAACGGCTATAAACAACTATAAGTTTCATTATATATACCAAAACATCTAATGTAAACAAGTTACAAAAAAAATCAGAAAATATTCTTTGATCTATAATCACTCACATATATTCTCTGAAAAATTCTCTGAGAAGTGTTCTTCAATTTTTGTTTACATCCTCTCTCAGAAATTATACACTGAGCTTTATAGCATTAAGCTCATCTTTTCTGTGTGAGATTTACAGAAAAATCAAAGTTTCATTTTATATATCTATCTTTGAGAGATAATTCTTGTAACTTTCTGTGAAAGCAAAAATACATTCTTTTCAATCTTGTAAGAGTGTAGTACACTCAGTGTTCTTGACTTAGAAAGTCTGTGTAAAATCTGTGGAGGATTGCTCAATTTGTAAAGAGGTTGCTAGCACCCCCGTGAAGCTAGAACATAGTGAAAAATCTCAAGTGAAGCTTGAGGAGTGGACGTAGGCTGAGTTGAAGCCGAACCACTATAAATTTGTTTGCCTCTCTCTCCCTTATCTCTTTATTTTATTTAAATTGCTATAACTATATTTCACAATTTCACTGTGCTAAAATGTAACAACCCTCGTCACTATTTACCGACAAACTACTGATTACCGTTAAACTGAACTGATTATGACTGATAAGTGAACTGAATAAACTACTGAACTGACTGACTAAAATTGAAACTGACTTGACTGAGTATATCTGTTCAATTGTATGTCTATCTGTTTGATTGTTTGATTATCTGTTTGTGTTTTATGTTTAAACTGCAAATTGAAGGCCTTATCGGCGGCCGAATCTGAAATTGATTAGGGATATGTGTTAATTAGAATTTATGTGGTTTTATGGCATATTTAATTTAAAAGGTGATTTGGTATGATTAAATTAGATTAAAATGAGCTAAATTGCATAGTTAGCCTTATTTACCATTTTGCCACATGAGTGGCCCACTACATGATCAACATTTGAGCCTTAGTATACACCTAGGCACATTTTTGCTCAGCTCATTCCTTGCCGTTACCGACTAGAGAGAGGGAGATAAGGGAGAGAGTTGATTTCATCTCACTTTAGCTTGTGAATTGCTTGGAATTGAAGAAGAAATTGCATATTTGAGCTTCCCTTCCTTGAATTGGAGACTTAAGGTAGAAATTCATCTTCTCATTCCAAAACTTGCTGGTTTTGCTGAGCTTCAAGGGTAACTCCTTTTCCCTCTTTTTAAGCTCTATCTTGATCATTCTCTTAGCCATACTTGCATGCATATTTGAGTTACCATTGAAGAGTTTGAGGTTGTATATCATGATTCATCACATGCATGTCCATGTTTTGAGAGTAGACCATGTTTTCGTCTTGTTTGAAAAGAATGAGCTCCTAGAGCATGTTTTGAAGCTTTTGAAATTGGTTTGAATTCATGCATGTCAGGTTTGAAATATTGTGATGAAATTGGTTCGAATTGGATTTATTTGAAACACCCTTGGGCCTTGATTTTACAAATTAAGCTTTGAATCAGTTAAATATGAGTTTTGATGTGTTTTCTGGAAAATTGGCCCAAAAGGATCGAAATTTATGGTTTAAAACTTGGTTTGAGCTTGAGGTTCAAATCTGGAATTTCCAAAATTTGGAATCACGCTCGAGCGGGGTGACTGGCGCTTGAGCATGGAATTCATGCTCCCAGCATTTTTGTTCTGTTTTGAAGTCCCTCGAGCGGAAGAATTGACGCTCGAGCGGGACTTTGTGTCTCATGCTCGAGCGGGTGTCGAGCGCCTAATCGAGCGTGATTTTCACCTATCCAGCACTTTTGACTGTTTTGCAGAACGCTCGAGCGGGTAAGTCTACGCTCGAACGAAACCTTTTCTTCACTTCCGCTCGAGCGGATAAACCTACGCTCGAGCGTGACCCCTGCTTTCTGAAAAAGTCTGAAAATGCTTTTTAAAAGTGCATCTTTACATCCTCATCTCATTCTAGGCATTCTTAGGCCTAGTTTAAGACATCTTAAGGAGGATATAGATGTAGAACACACCGAGGCAATTAGGATTAAGTTATTATTTTCCCAACTGTGTAGCTTAGTGTGTGTTAATCTGTAACTGTGTAGGGTTGGCGACTGGGGAGCGCTCTGGCTTTACTATAGCCCAGAACTCTGTGATTAACAACTTGTTGTAAAGATATGTCAAAATGATTATCTTCTGAACAATTGAACTGTACTGCTTCTTGAACTGATTACTGTTAACTGAATGAATGTATGTCCTATATTCTGAAACCGTACTGTGGCATCCTTAGCACCTACTGTTACTGATACGCTACAGGATCTCTTGTCGGTTCCCTCTCGTTGGAACCACTACTGTTACTGACTGATGGCCATCATTTACTGCTCAGTCTTTTTAGACCTACTGTTTACTGTACTGTTATGCTAATGGATTGTACCACATATGACTGCACTGACTGAACGACTGGAATACTAATTAATGAACTGTTTTCATTACTGTAAGACATTCATTCTTAACCCCTTTACGCATTGTGTTATTCACTGGGCTTTAGGCTCACTGCTCATATATATATGTAGGTGTCCAGGCACCAGACGCAGTAGGAGCGTCGGGGTTAACTCCAGTTTTGTAAGCCAACCTATGTGCCTCAATGCGAGGCCGAGCTTGTCAAGCTACGGCTTAGG